GGCTGAAAAAAAGGTGGAGAGTGAGGTGCCAATGTCCCACAGCAGAGCCCCTGGAAGGACCTACATCTCCTTGGGTAAGTTATTTACTGAGTGCACTGAGCTTTGGAATTGCTTCCTGCTCCAGAGGGGAGACCTAATTCCTCACTCAGGCCTCCATTGCTGGTGACTTATGAAGCCACCTGTACCTCATGAATATAAATCCCATTCTCTCTGGTGTAGTTATGTATAGTTATATCATTAGGGGATGGCATATTCCATATACAGAGGAGGATAGAGGTCCTCTATTTAAAAACAGTTTTCCAGCAACACAAATGATCATGTGCTCACAGAGATAAATTACTTCATTTTACTCCTGCTGATGTGCAATATGTCAATTAAAATATTAACATGTTTTTAATTCAGCAGATTGATTCTTATTTTGCCTTTTTTTAAGTAATTTGTCTTTGTTTGCTGCCTGAAAGAAATGTGGGATATTTATTCCTCCCTTGAGGCAAAATGGTGTCCAGTCCATGAAATACTTGTTCCTATCCTCTGCTGTTTTGCCCCAAAACTAATAGTGCTGTCAGCTTTTCTTCCTTGGAGACAGGAAGCAGAGCAGAAAAAAGATGTTTTATATATTACATAATGTTATGGTTTCTGGAAAGTCCTATACCTGGTGTGTGCAGGCAATATGATGGTTTTGTTCCAGTTTTTCTTGCTGAGAGTCCATCAAAACTGGCCAGGGTACAATTGAGCTCTAACCATTGTGCCTGAGATGTGCCATCTTGTGAAAATAATGGGAAGGGCTGCTTTTATGCTGCCTTTTGTGTAAGAAAGAGGTTAATGATGTGAGAAGCTTTCAGGCACTGGAGCAGGAGGCAGGGAAACGAGATTCTCAACTGAAACTGCCTGGCTTGGGTCAAAGGGGGACCTTGCTCTGGACCTTGTAGTTTTGAAAAGCGAGAGGAGATGGAGCTTTATCACTTCCCGGGGCTTGAGAGAAAAGTCTGTCTCTGCTCTTGTCTGCAGGCCCTGGAAATGTCTGTGCAGCTCCCAGGGCTTTAAAGGTGTTTATCAGTGAGTCAGTGAGCCCAGCACTGGGCTGACATTTTCCAGGGCAGGTTTCTGAGCTGTGCAATGAGTTGGCACTGAAATAATTGGCCTATTTCTTCAAAAGTGACGAAGATCCCACTGACATCTTCATTACATCCTGAGACATTTAAGAAGATAACGCCAGGCACCCACATTTGAAAATCCTAGCCTTTTACCTCACCAGAGACTTTACCTCAGAAGGAATTTGTGAAGATTACCGTGCTCCTAATGCCTTTTGAAATCCCTGAGAGGTTTTGGGAGGGAGGTGTAAGAACAGCAGCAGTGTTCCAATGCAGCCTTCAGTGTCTCTGCTTACAGGGTCAAACCCCATTCTAGGGAGCCAGTAGCACCATAAACCAGAAGTTTGGGAGCTTAGAATGCAGGGGAGTAAGACAGTGTTATGTGCACAAACACCTGCAAGTTCTTTCATAAACTTCATAAGTGTTATAGCTGCAATACTGACAAAACTTCTCTGTAACTCTGATTTCAAAGGCATAGTTATTCCCTTTTTCCAAACCTAGAAGCTAATGGCAAGTGACTTGCTTCAAGGGTTTTAACTGGAAACAACAATGAAGCAAACAACAGATTATCCGCAGTTTTCCAGTCAGAGTTCTTTATGTAGGTAGGATTTTATTCCATGCCATTGAAGTCAAACATTTCTTCTTTCCATTGCTTGATGTGCTGCTTTTGGCTGGGATGGAGTTGATTTTCTTCATAGTAGCTGATGTGGGGTTGTGTTTTGGATATTTGCTGGAACCCCTGGGATAACCCAGGGATGGTTTTGTTCTTGCTGAGCAGGGTTTGCACAGTTAAGGCCTTTTCTACTCCTTGCCCACCTTGCCAACGAGAGGTTGAGGGAGCACAAGGAGTTTGGAGGGGGCACATCTGGGACAGCTGATCCCAGCTGAGCCAGGGGATATCCCAAACCATACAGCATCGTGCTCAGCATGCAAAGCTGGGGGGAAAAGGAGGAAGGGGGGATGTGTAGAGTGATGGTGTTTGCTTTTCCCAGGTCACCATTATGTGTGTCTGTCCTGGGGATGCTGAACCCCTGCCTGCCTATGGAAAGTGAGGAAGGAATTCCTTGTTTGCTTTGCTTGTGGCTTTTGTGTTACCTGTTAAACTGCTTTTATCTGAATCCTTGAGTTTTCTCCCTCTTACTCCTCTGATTCCCCCATCCCACCGGGCAGAGTGAGTGAGTGGCTGGTGGGGCTGAGTCCCTGCCTGGGGTTAAATGTGACATTTGGTTTCCACAGCCAATTTAAAAACTTCAGAATTTGCATTCCCTAAATTGCAGAATTTTCTTTCTGAGGACAAGCAGAGAAGGAAGTCTCTTGTTTATCATCAGTTCCATTAGTATTTATCTTCAAATAACATAATTAAACTGATGAACAGCTCTGCCTATTGCTTGTCTTACAAGGAAATCACTTTCAGACACTTGAAAAACTAAACACAGAGATTACTCAACTGACTAACAATTTTGAACTGAACTATCCTTCACTTTTAAAGGCAATTATGAAGGCTCTTGACATATGTAATATTCTAGCTGTAATCTGATTAGTAGAAGCAGCAGTGGTAGGACAAGTTGCAGTCTGGATGAATTTACTGCCAAGGCTAAACTACTTTTCAGCAATATTCATTTTTCAAGGAACAGATGGTTTAATTCTCTGAACCAGGTGCTGATAAATAAATGGAAAATCAGAGGTGAGGATTGAAATAACTGTTATACACCCTTCAGAGTTCAGCAGGTTTTAAAGGGATGCAGGCATTCCAGCTCCAAGGCATGGAGTTTTAGGTTCTTCAGGCTGGAGTACTCCCACAGCTTCAAGTGATGTCATATTATGAAGTCTGTAAAATGACCACTTCTTTGAAACTAGGTGAAGGAAGCAATGAAAATACTCAGTTTAAACACTTCGGAACTTGGGTTTGCAGCAAAAACTTGAGGCTTAGAAGGTGTATTAAATAATCTATTAAATTGTTTGTAGCTTTGTAAAAATGGGAAGATTGTAGCCAACCAGCAGCCAGGTTTTGGACAAAAGTGTCTGTCATTGAAGTGATTCAGTTGCAACTTTAGCTGCAATATTTGTTGTGATCATACTGTTAGGTGGAACCTTTTTAAGCAATCTGGGATGGACAGGGCAATGGCATGGCAGCTGAACACTGAATAAACCATGAACCTCGAGACCTTGAGTTGATGAATCCAACTTCAGTGACTCCAACAACCTCACCAACCTGCTCTGCTGTGACTGCACAGGACCCAAGGCTTAGCTGTGAAGTGACACAGTTTGGCAATTTCTAAACAGAGTCTTATTTTCTTTGATCAGGCAAATAAAAACATCCTGCAATGAATTCCAGCTGCATCTGCTCACCAGTTGTGTTCACTGAAAGCTCCCTAGGAAGGCCACACAAAGCTCATGGTGGTGTACAATTGATGCCCTGCTCCTAGAGAACAGTAGATGCTACCAGAGGTTTATTTGAACGAGGCTTGAGGATGGGAAGGGAGCTACAAGAAAGATGGAGAGACTATTTACAAGGGCCTGGAGTGACAGGACAGAGAGTAGGGTTAGATGGGATATTAGGAAGAAATTGTTCCCTGTGAGGGTGGGGAGGCCCTGGCACAGGTTGCCCAGAGAAGCTGTGGCTGCCCCATCCCTGGAAGTGTCCAAGGTTGGACAGGGCTTGGAGCAACCTGGGCTAGCGGAAGGTGTCCCTGCAAATGGCAGGGAGTGGAACAAGATGATCTTTAAGGTCCCTTCCAACCCAAACCATTCCATGAATCTATGATAATGAGACTGGGATTATTTAGCTGTCAATAGTTCTGTTAAGGGAGACAAACTCCTTCAAAGGAAGAGTTAATAATGCTGTGCTTTCTCCAGTGTCATTAATTGAATCCCCCTGTATCCCACCACTTGGATGGCACAGCTCATTACTTGTGGAGTAGGGCAGGGACACACCCAAGGTTTAATGGGATCAGGGGAGCTGTGCTGAGAGAAGATTTCAGCTGAATTACACAACAAAGGCTATTTGATTCATTATTCTCAATTTAGGGCTCTCATAGCTGGATGCCTGTTATAAAAAGAGAAGGAAATTGGGAAGGGCAAGATTGGCTCAAAATGAGTCCTGCAGTCGATTAAATTGGGACTTTCTCTGCTTGGCTTTCCTCAAATGCAGTTTCAAAGCTCTGTGGAGGGGTTGGCAGCATTTCCTTCCCTTCTTCCCCAGAACTAGAAAGAAAAATGGTCTTTAAATTGAGTAAAGCCTAATTGCCATGAGGCAGAGGAACAGAAGCCCTGGCAGTAATTTTCCCTCACCTGAGGAGTGCAGGTAGGAGTGAGTTCTGTGGGAAAGGCACAGGCACTTCATTAGGAGGGAAGTTCCTGCTGGGTCCAACTGCACGTGTTCGTTCCTTCCCTGACTCATTTTCTCGCTGTTATTATGAGCAGGGTTTCGTTTCTCCTCTCAGTTTTGGCAGATTTACACACAGACCTGGGCTGGGGGTGATTTACCTCTTACAGAACTGCCTTTGACCTTCTCCATGTGCAGAGAGGTGGGGAGGGTTTGGATGGGAACAAGGATGGCACAGCTGGAACACGGACTAGTACTGAGCCCTTGGGTGTCACCTCACTGGAGTATTTTGGCCTCTTATCTCCCTGGAAAATAGATCAGTGGAGGTTTTATCCCATAAATTGAAGAATACACAAGCCCTGACTGAAGCTCTGGTTTTTATCCATCATAAATTTTCCAACAGAAAACTTGTGTTGTCAGAATTGAAGTATTTCACGGGGTCTGTTAATTCTGGCATCAATGTTTTTGATAGGAATTTATGAAAACACACCATTTAGGCTTCTTTATTTAGTTCTGATAATCTTTAATTTCTTATTTTGTTTAGTTTCAGATTTTAAATGTAATTATGCAAGAATTACAATAGTTATTGTAATGAATGGGATGTGTCATAATTAATTTTGAACTTTAATATTCTAAACATTCCCTTCATGACACAATATGGAATTTGTAGTCTGTGAAGAACATCTAATGTTCACTTTGTTCTGAAACAGAATGAAAATAAATGTCAAAAAACACAGTGCTCCATGGAATGTATGGCTGATTTTTCTCAACAGATGTAATAGATAATATTTCAAAGTGACTTAACTTTGAAAAACAGCTTCAGTTTGCCTTCAAAGCATTCAAAACAATCAGTCATGGATTTTTCTTATTCATATGCAGGCTTTTGGGTTTTTAGGTTTATTTTCCTGTGGTTTAGGATTTTCAGAAGCTAAAACAAATCTAGACAAGGAACTTCAGATGATGATAAGTAAACCTTGCATAATGAGGAAAATAAGACTGCAGGAAAGATTCTGAAGTAATCTAGACTTTAAATTTGATTATAGGGCTGAAGCAGTGTGTGTGAAAGGGGCAGGAAAAGGTGCATTTTAGCCAGTCTGGATTTGCAAATTCATGTAGACACATTTCAGTTCCTGTGGCCACCAGGATAGAAACTTTTCCCCAGTTATGCTGATATTTGGATATTTATCCACTTAAGTTCTACTTATAAACATCCTGTGGGTTCTGAAACACACAAGAATAACCCTAGAAATTAAGAAATGGAATATTTTGAAACGTTTTCCTTTTTGCAAGTAGAGTAAACTACTGTTGCTCAAGGGTGTATCAGGAATGAAGCTGGGAAGCTGAGTATGAGAAGGGGACAGATGGATTGACAGAAGGACTAACACAAAAAAGTTTATTTTCTTTTGGCTGAGTATTTGCTTGGCAGCAAGTGTTTGATTATTATTCCAGTGAAACACAGGCTTTTTCCTCTTCAATGTCACTACAGAATGTCTTGGCCTATTTTAAAGCTATTTTCTTGAGTATTTGTTTTGCAAATTCTTTTCCATACCTGTGTGTGTTAATGTTTTTTCACCATTTGGTTCCACACTGGGAAAGAGAGGGGAATTATAACTAAATGTTTGGACCACACTCTTCAGGACAGGGTGGGATTGTTGGGGTGTCTGTGCAGGACCAGGAGTTGGCCTGGATGGTCCTTGTGGGTCCCTTCCAGCTCAGGATATTCTATGATTCTATCATTCTATCTCAGCCTGTTGGTGAATCCCTCTTGACTTTGTGGTTCAGGCAAAATCCTACAACACTTGTATGGAAATTATTCAGAGGGGTCACCTAAAGGTGGCCCACTGTGTTGCTGTGAGAAGGTGCAATTTCCAGCCTGAGTGACACCCTTAGTTTGAAAAAATCATTTGCAATCCCAGAGATCCTGTTGAGTTGTGTCACTGGTGTTTGGAATTCAGGCTGGCCCTCACTACCAATGCTTGAAAAGGCAGAGTTAAATACTTTGGCCCTATCCCCAAAGGGCAGAACAGGGCAGCATTTGCCAGTCACCCATAGCTTAAGGACTAACAGATCCTAATAAAGGAGGTGAGGGGAGAGAAAGGCCTGTTTGTGAAGCTGAGTGAGGATCACTGCAGAGGAGGTACCCCTGTCTCCAACTAGCTAATTTTTCACTTTGGTGTTTTTTTTCCCTTTGGTGATATCTGCAAATCCTGGGAGGCAGCTCTGAAATGTGCTGTGGTTTGATCCCATTGTGAGTTTGGAGTAGCAGTTTTGATAGCATTTCCCTAGATTTAGCATGGAGCAAATGCAAGCTGTAATATTTTATTAAGCTATTCCAACTTCTCCGACTTGCCCTGCGTGTTAGGTTGTTTATAAAATGCTGTGTGTTTAGCAAAAAAATTGGATTAACAGAATGCCACATTCATTTTTCTCTAACTTTTAGGTCAAATTTAATCAGCTTACAAGTTAAAGAATGCTTTCTGCCATAGCAGTAAACACAGCTGGGATCGAAAAGTCAGGCTGTTGGGGGGAGAAAAAAGGCTCCTCTAGTTACATTGTCAGCTAAATTCTTCTTTCAGGCTCTTTAGAACTGTCTGTGATACCTGGATGAAAGAGGCAACTTTTTAACTTCAGAAGGCCGGGTTGCCCTGAGCCCCAGAACAGCTCATGTGGCTCCTGTCATCCATTGCTCCTTAAAAAAATCCCAGCTCTGCAAGTCCTAAAGGAAAAATGCATTTCCTTAGTGAAGCCCAAATATATGAATCAAAAATAGAGAGGAAACAGATTTACTGTGTAAGGTGCTGTGGTTTCCGTCATGGTCCAGTTTTCTAACAATATCAAACCTGTCTGCAATATTGCACAAGGTAATATCCCTTAGAAAGGCAGGGGAAGGTTGGTTGTTTATCATCAGTTGATCAAATTCCTCGCTCCTGGTGTTCACAGGCCTCATCTGGACTGGAAAACAACAGGACAGGGAAAAGATGGTGTTGATGTTCTCTGAGAAAATGTTTTTGGATTGGTTATAACAGTCCCAATATTAGGGGTGAGACTTCTATCACTTCTCTGCACTGAATGTGATAAGGGGCCCTGGAATCACATCTGTGTCAGATACAGGCTGGATATTGGCCTTATCTGTCACAAACCTGGGGTGTCACTGAGGAATGTGGCAACTGGGAGCTGAAGAGTAAGGCAGAAGTTTGCTTTTGCTTTGGGTTGAGGAGAATTTGTGCACTTCTCCAGTGCATCGTGCACATGGGAGCTTTCCTACTTATTATTCCATAATTATTCCATAAATAGAGAATTATTAAGGCTGGAAAAGACCTCTAAGATCATCAAGTCCAACCTGTGACCAAACACCACATCAACTAAACCAGAGCACTGAGTGCCACATCCAGTTGTTAATATTATATCAATGTATGTATAAATATCAATGCATGACAAGAGCCACACGAGCTACTCTGGGACTCAGAAAACCTGGCTTTCTAAAAGTACAAATTTGCCTCTTTTATTCAAGTATCACAAATAGGGAAAGAAAAGACATTTCTGTCAAATCCTGACAAGGCAAATGGAGTGATACAGTGCAGTGTCTTTCATAGATATTCCTTAATTCTGACAATTTCAATGTAGATTTGGTGGAGGGATTTATTTTCCTCTTAAAGCTGGTTGCACTTTGCAAGAAGATACATGATACTAAGATAATATGCTTTTTCCCAAATGTCCCATCGTGCTTTTAGCCATTTGCATTTCTGATAGCTTAATGTAGCCTATTTGCTTCTGAAATGACTGTTTCAGATGACTTTCATTAAAATCGTTCAATACAACTACAATTTGTTTTTATCTAATTAAATATTCTTTCAGTTGTCCCTTGAAAGAATTTACCTCATTATCTCATGGCTCTGATGATCCAGCCATAAGGAATTTTTGCACTCCTTTAACCTCTGACTTTGATGCAACAAAACAGCTGTGGAGGGCTCCAATTTTGGCATAAACTGTGCCAGAGTTTATGAAACATCAGGGAATTTCTCGACCTGCAGAAGAAATGGAAAGACATTTTTGGTTTGAGCACATCTACATCTCCAGTTTGGATCTTGGCTTCTTGGGAGGCAGGGAATGCACATGTGAAATGCAGGACACTTGTTGGCCTGTTTCTATATTCATGTGGCCAGAAAGCTGAGGAAGCAACGTATTTGAATACAAAATAGTAGGAAATGAAAAGGCAGTGCCAGAAGGTGTGAAGTAAACAGCCTTGGCACATTCTCACCACCCAGCAAATTATGAGGTCTCACCTCTCCACCTTCAGTTCTAAGAAATTGTGAAGTTGCTTAAAAATTCAACTCCCCCTTTGCCACCACGAGGAGCCAGCCTGTGAATAACCAGCTCTGCACTTCTCTGTAGTTACTCTTTTGGCAGAGTTGCTCCTTCACTAAAAAATGAAGGTCCACTTCATCCCATGGGCTGCCAGTAACCCAAGCAGGGAGACAGTTCCTTTTGGGAAGCTTATCCAAAAGAACCAAACACAATGTTATTTACAGTCTCAGGAATTGCCTCTGAAGGACTTTGTACTGAGCAAAGACCAAGAGCAGATCAAACCCCACCTCCTTTAAAAATGAGGCTGATTTTCAGGCTGAGCAGCAGCGTGGAAATGAGACTGGAGCAGAATTCCTCCTGTTCATGCTTGTGTTCAGTCTGGGAACAGCAGGAACTTTCACCTTCTCTGGCAGTTGGCTGCTGCACAGTTGGATTTCGTCCATGAGTTTGTCAGGTTTGTGGGAAATCTGCTTGGAATCACACTCCCCCTTTTTGGTGCAGGGAACTAAAGGACCTCTCTGGCTCATGCTCATTCTCTGTAATGTCCAAAGCCACACAGAACTGTTGGTTCTGAAATGATGCTGGTCTAGAGCATTCCCTGATGCTCCTCAGTGCCAGACCTTCAGCCCCTAAATCATTCCAAGGGACACCACTGAGCTTCCCATGACTTACAAGAGCCTTCCCCATCTATTCACCATTCTTGTCCCTCCAATGCCAACACTTTTATTGCTGGTTTTGCCATTTTATTATTGAAGGTTCCCTCAAAAACTTAAATTTTGATTTCTTTAGTCAGAATCTCACCTAGGCTATGTTACAGTGCAAAGCAAAATTTTATGCTGGAGTTTTTTCAAACGCTCATAAATGCTTTTATAGTTTTTTAAGAAAACATAGCTTAACTAGAAGAAAGGAAACAGGTACATAAAGCATTACTGTGTTAATTACTACTGAAATATTGCAGGTAGCATGGTGAACACAAGTCTTGTGGAATAGGTTCACCAAAATTTGTGAGTTTCTGTATTTTTCCCAACTTCTGTCACTGGTCTAAATGAATCAAACCCAGAGTATAATTTTCTGATCAAAATATTTTTTTCTACAATTGTTTGTAAAGTAGTAAATTGTACAGTGTGTTCTGAATATTAGAAAGCACTTCCACTCTTGGTCAGAAGCCAGTAATAAAAAAAATTATAATAAGCTAATTTCAATTCCAAATGAACTCATTCCTATGCTGGCTGCTGAAAATGCATGAGCCAGGCATTGTACCAGCAGAAGCAACTTGGATTCCACCTTCTTCTGCCTGTCTGCCCACAGAAAACCTCCACACTGAAATATTTCAAACCAAACAGGTTTTAGAATAAAATTAACACCTGTTCCGGTGTTGGCCCGTGGCATTCTCTGGCCTGTTGTCTGAACTCTTAATTCATCCAGAGGGCTGCAAAAAAGGTGCTAGGAAACTAATGTTCCATACCAGAGTCTGGGATGGGGGGATTCACATGTTCTGCCTCTTAGAAAAACCACAAAATGCCCCCCTGCTCTTCTCATAAAATTACCAAAATTAGGCTAAAAATACTGACACTGCTTCTGCTCCCATATTCCCAAACCGTTTTGATGAATTTTTTTTTTCTATCTGTATTTAGTGCTGCAACTTTGACTTTAAATGCCTTGAATTCTTATAAGAGGGATTTTATCTGATTTTTTTTTAGTTTTAGGAGTCTTGTGGAAATTAAAACACAAATCTACTAAAATATATGGCCACAGAATCTATTAAATCTCCGTAAGGTTGTTCTCTACGGGAGGAAAAGTAATTGGAGCTTGTTGAATTGGGATGTAATTACAACCAATAATCAAATAGAAAATATTCTGGTGGAAGGTGTCCCTACCCAAGGCAGGAGGTTGGAATGAGATGATCTTTAAAGTCCCTTCTAATCCAAACCATTTTATGATTTTTCTAAGCTAAAATCTCTATTCCAGATGTCTCATCTCTACTCCAGATGTCTCCTCCTACTCCCTTCACCCTCAGTATTCTCCACTGCCCCCACCTATCTACCTTTCCCACTTAATTGTGGATGCTTTTAAATAAATCCTAAATAGTTAACTTTCCCACACTGTTTGAAAACCCAATTCACTATTCCCAACAGCCTCAGGTCTTTCATGCTAAAAGCGGGATAAAACTGAGGATTATTTGCGAAGCCAGTAATTGGAAATCTGATTTGGTGTCAGCAGCCTCAGTTTACTCTGCTCAAGAAGAGGAAAACATTGACCTTTCTACCTGTCACCACGAAGTGAGTCACTGCTGACAAATGTTTGAGGCTGATGTGCACCACTTGCAAGATAAATCAGTGTTGCAAATCACCCTGCTTTATTTTTGTCTGAGTACTTCGGATGGGCCCGGGGAAGTGCCTCAGGCTCCTCCTGTCTCATCCAATTATTCACCAGCACCAGGCACGTTGTCTCAAAATAATTTACTGAGCATTCCTTGCTCTTGAGGTGAACTGAGATCCGTGGCCATGAGCTCTGCCTTCTCCCAGGAACAGGGGCTGAAGTGCTAACGGGGCACTGGGGAATCTGCTGAGAGACAGCAGGAAAGCCCTCCCTGGTGGGTGGTGAAGTGGGCACAGGTTCCATCCATGTTGTCCCTGTAGCTCAGGAGTTCCCACTCAACCTTTCCCGGGAGTGGCAGAGGGTGAGGAAGCTGAAGGCTGTGCTGGCTGTCTGTGGTTGCTGTTGTCCCTCACTGGAGAACAGGGACCCTTTTTAAGAAGGGACGATCAAATTGTCTGGCTACTTCTGCCAGGATAAAGCTGGGTGAAAATTTGGGCAAAACCAGCAGAGAGAACAATTCCCATTAGTAGCACATGCCTGGGGCAATCCAAAACATCCAGAGGATGATGAAGTCACGCTCTGCACCATCTGATCCAAGCAGAACATCCTGATATGTTTGGAGCAAGAACCTGGCTCTCAAAATGTGAACTTAAAACATGTCAATATTCTGGTGAACTCACTTTCCCTTTCACCAAATCTCTGGTGGAAGTGTGGCTGGACAATGTGCTGAGGCTTAAAAATTCTTATTCTAGCTAAGGTGAAAGATTCTTTGCTTAATTTCTTCGAATTCAGCTTACTTGCAAAGTATTTGGTGTGATATTAAGTTTGGCTTGAAACTGGTGGTATGGTAATGGTCTTAATTTTATCTCCCAGCTTGAAGACTGCCTTGTAAACATTAGCTGACAGGCATATCTTTCATCTCACTGACAGTAAACTTATTTGTCAAAAATCCCAATTAATATTCAGAGAGGGAGAAGAAAAGTAATGCAATTCAAATTAGGCTAAAGCAGTTGAGTTAGGATTTGGAAGTTCTCCCTCTGAATATCTTAGTTGGCTCTTTAAGGTTTTATTCTGCACATGTGATGTCCAGCTGCAGTGAAATGGTGCCTGTTTGACTAGAGGCCTTGACTTTGTGCCTCTAGAAAGAAGTGGCCAGTTCAGGGGGTTTATTTTCAGTGTCCTTGTTCATGCCCCTGCCTTGCCACTCAATGGCTCTGCCTTAGGCCATGAGGCTCCTTGTTTCCTCGTGAGTGTCATTCACTGCTGAATTCATAATTTCTGCGTTTCCCTCCATGGAAATATTGTTTATTTCCACACATTCTATGAGCTGAAGAGATTTGATAGTCTCTTATTTACATTTCAGAAGACACAAAGTCAAATGCAGCACTGTCTACGCACTTTAAAGAGGGTTTTCAATGTTTCAAGTTGCTTCTTTGCTAAATTGTTTGTGGTTTAAATTCAGAAATTGCAGTGGGCCAAGTGCTGTTCCTACAATAAATTTTCTGGTCTTGTAAAGCAACTGAGAGCAGAGTTTGATCTGATTTCCCTGTTGTTAATCACCATAATGGTAAACAAACCCTAATGTTGTGAATGCATTAAATGAAAAACAGCATTGCAAAGTAAAGTGGAGGGTGGATGCATTTACTCATTATATACTGAATAACCCAAGCAGTTAATGCCTTTGCTGGCTAATTGCTTTGATTTCTATTTTAGACCAGGAGAAGTCATATTTGAATACAAATTGGGGTGCCATGTTAATCATGTATCTTTTTTTTTTTTTAATGACTAATTAACTTCCTTTTGCATTTAAACCACAAAAGCCAATTGAATTTCAGGCTCACAAGCACTGGGGGACCACATTTAAAATTCCAGCAAGGGATCCCAGGTGATCTGAAATGCATTATTGGCTGTTACACCATCATTTCAGATCACTACAAGAGCGAAGTGGTGCTGCAAAGATTATTTGTTGTGCAGTCACTTTGAGAGCTCTCTGCTGTTTGCAGAGCAAACTGATGAAATACGGACATGTTTATGAAATATTGTTCATCAGAGATCATTTCGAGCACTCCAGTAAAATGTTTCTGTTTGCTACAGTAATTGTTCTTTTACAATAACAGTGGGGGTTGTAAAAGAATACTTTTGTCATTGAAGATTGATTTTAAAATTGGAGGGGTTTTCTTTTCTTTTTTTTCCTCTGTAAATCCCAAAATCACAGAATCATTTATGTTGGAAAAGCCCTCGCAGCCCATGGAGTCCAACCTGTGCCTGATCCCCACCTTGTCACCCAGCCCAGAGCACTGAGTGCCACGTCCAGTCCTTCCTTGGACACCTCCAGGGACGGGGACTCCAAACCTCCCTGGGCAGCCCCTTCCAATGCCTGACCAGCCTCTCCATGGAGAAATTCTTCCTGATGTCCAACCTGATCCTCCCCTGGGACAACTTGAGGCCATTGCCTCTTGTCCTGTCCCTTGTTCCCTCCACCTGGCTCCCTTCTCCTGTCAGGGAGTTGCAGAGCCAGAAGGTCCCCCCTGAACCTCCTTTTCTCCAGGCTGAGCCCCCCCAGCTCCCTCAGCTGTTCTTGGTTCTCCAGACCATTCCCAGCTCCATTCCCTTCCCTGGACACACTCCAGCCCCTAAATGTCTTTCCTGCCTTGAGGGGCCCAAAACTGGACACAGCACTGGAGGTGTGATCCCACCAGTGCCCAGCCCAATCCCTGGTCCTGCTGGACACACTATTCTTGATACAAATCCTTTTTAGGCTCATGGCATCCTGGCTTGTCCAGGAAGTTAAGTTAATCTACTGCAGATGGTTCAGCCTGAGGGGAACTATGTATTTTTAACAAATTGTAATTGCAACACACATCTCCATGACAGAGAG